TATTAATTGATAGATTAACCTTTTAATTGACACCAAAAGTCTACACTCACGTAACCTTAAAACTTCAAATTGTTGAAATAGTTTTATAAAAAAAACAACTTAAATTTAATTAGTACCGGTAGTACTCAAGAACTTAGCATCCAACTTTGGTTGTCGGCCTCCTCAAATCAATCTTTGTTTTGAGGGGTACTCTGCCAAAAAGCAATGACACCAATACATGCCTTGTTGGTGGAGATAATGTCGCAACGTGAAATAATTTTAACCCAAATTGCTAAGAATAACACTGTTCAACTTCCATACACATCTGCAGAGCCAAGTTTAATACAAGGTCAACAGAATATGAAGGATCTCCACAAGCCTTGGACAGAAAATCACATCAGCATGTGATAGATTCTGCAGATGAATATGCCACAAGTAATCTGACACAGGGCAGGTTCAAGGCTAAAGTTTTCATGGTTGAAGTCTGCAAAAGGCATGGTTTTCAAGGTAGGTTAAAGGTAGAGTAGATCATTTGCAGCTATCCAAAAAGTAACTGACAAAATTATTGTTAAAAAGTCTACTTGGTTAAAAGATAGTTTAACTCCCTGTGAATTTATTCCTTCTGGCATGCTGTCATTTTGAGGAAAACAATAAAGGAAATTTCCAAAGATGAGTCAAGTGACACACTTTTGAAATTTTTGTTGTTAGCAGTAGGTTTGTAATTGGGCGAATTCAACAATGGTTGCGCGTGCAAACGTTGACACGACGCACACGCATGTGCAGTTGCTACTACTCGTTGGTCAGTGCGTGACATCGCGTAGCTGTAATCGGCTGAATGAGAACATTATGTTCCAGATGCTGATTTTGGGTCAAATTATGACTCAGCAACTTTTGAATTGAAATCAGATCCCAGAATGTTGTTTTCTCAAAATATACAGCATTTACAGAGCTAAAACTTCATCAGGGTATTTGTTAATATGCCCCCATCTTTAGATTTTTGAGCATTTTTGTTGCCTCAAACGAAACAAATGCACAAATGACAAATGATCTACTCTACCTTTAATGACATTATTAAACCTACAGATGCATGGTTCATCCTGCAAAGTGGGTACAAAGCCCATTGGTTAACAACCAGGATCAAGCTTAAATCAGGTGTATTTCTAGACCTCACATACAGGAGATGTTACATTTTGCAAAATTTACAAATTGATTTAAATTTTCAAAATTTCATCCACGTCATCAAAATACACAATTGTTGACAATTAGGGGAACTTGGAAGATACATGGATGCCACTTAAACTTAATTTTGATAAATACATGCATCTCGTGACGATTTCTAATTCCCAAAGAACACTTTTATCTGAAGTCTTATCAAGAAACTTTACTTGACATGGGAAACAGAATTATCAATTACAAGTACCATTCCATGGACCAGAATTCCATTTCTGGAGTACAATGTTGAAAAAACTACTAACATTAATTAAACGCCAGTACTACCATTTTTAAAGTGCTGTCTTAGGAAATGCATAATCTCAGAAAATACAAGACATCTTCACAATGCCAATTTTCCTCAAAAACTTTTTGAACTCTCTGTAGTCTAGTAGAAAAGGAAAAACTATTTACATACATATAAATATACATATCGACAAGAATGAGATATTTTTTTATAATAGATTCTTTGGTACTTGCAGGATTTAATTTATGGTTAGAGTCGTCTCGGACTAAAGATTATAAGGCAAACCACGGTAGAAATGTTGAATACATAACTTACTTCTTTTTTTAGCACAAATTCACAGATTGACTAGTTCTGACAAAAAAGTTGACAAACACAATTTCAATGAATACTACAATCAGAGAATAAAGGCCTCAGTTTAAAATTGATTATACTTTAAATAACTGTGACAAACTAGATACGATTTAGTGAAGTACAAGGGGTGCGAAGCCCCGTATTTACTGGGCTCAACTTTTACTTAACCCAACCCTGCAAATCTATATAACTTCTGTTGGATTATGAAGGGATGGGGAGGGTAAGAGACAAAGCTGTTTAGTGTCATGCTTGTCTGGTACCTCATGTTCATAAGTAATTACCATTCAAGTGCAGGGTAATGAGCAAACACACTTGTGAGCAACAATACTCAATTATTAAATCAAAATGACTTTGATGCAATTACAATGTATGTTGTGGCTTCTACCTTAATATATTTGTGCTTTGTTAATGTTTGTATTCATTATTACAATTTTGCAGTGCTTTAGCCAAGCTACTTCAGATGGATTACAATACATCACAAGTCAATCACAAGTCAATCACAAGTCATCCAGTCCCATATCCCCCGTTCTTTATTTCTACTGGACTTGTCATTTACTAGACTTCGGCTATTGGGCTAAGACGCTGTTGTGTATTGGATTCGTGATAACCTGTCAACGCAAGAGGACGTTATTGAGATGAAGCGCTATGACCCACGAACCGAAAGCAAAAACAACGTTGCTGGCAGTTCACTGGTGACAGCGGTTCGTCGTGGTAACGCCCTCTCGCGGAGGCAGGTTATCTCGAATCCAATACGCAACAACGTCTTGGCGCAAAACTAGTTATTTACTTGTGACCAATTTGTCATCCTTAAATCCATCACAAGTACCTCAAGTTCAACTTTGCCATTTTGCCACGGGGTTCGGGAATATAAAATACATATGTATTTGTCATCGTTTTGTGTGTGTGGCCATTTTATGAAGTTCTACATTACATGTACCATCACCATTACCATTGCCACTGAACATTAAATTTGTCAGTGAAGATTCAAATCCAACAGAATTAACTAACTGTGAACAAATAATCACTGAAACTTGGAATACTAATTCTTACTTAATTCGTTACAGCTGCATATCAAAACTGTACTGACACTGTCACACACTAGTTATCTAAGAGGAAAAAGATTGGAAATCCAGGACGAAAATACAAAATGTTATCACTCAACTGGTCTTAATGCCTTTTGTGGGTACAAAATGTTTCGAGGTAGATTAACATGGAAATCAATTACAAATTCTGGATCTTATTGGTTAGATTTCGTGAGGTTATTGTTGGTATTAGTTCACCTAACACCTAGTGCTGTTGCATTAAATTTGGTGCCAAAAAGTACAGTAATTGTACCAAACTTTACATCACTTTAGAAAAATATCTTTTGTGCCATCAGTATTATTCCAATGGAAAAAGCCTGAATATCAGGCTTGATATCAAACAATCTGAAATTTTGTTAATTTCAATTTATGAATGAAGATGATGAATGCAAGAATAGGAACATCTAAAAACTGCCCACCATTCTATGCTTTAGTTACAGAGGCATCGATTATTCCGTTTACAAGAAGCCTTAGACAAATGTGAGGAAGAAATGCTAAAGAGCACCGTAATATTGAATCAAAATGGAAATCTGTGAAAACGAAAACTGGAGACTGAAAGTGGCCCCAGTGTTAACTTGAACGCAGGAAAAATATGAAGACATTTAAAGAAATGATATCATTGTTATATTGCTTTTTTAGTTTCATTGTAATTACACCGGTAATGGAGTACCGAAGTGTGACGTCATTTAGAACCAGAAAGTGTAGTGCAAACGAATGGAGTACGTGCGCATGTTGGTTCATGGGCTGAGTACGCGCTAATGTCTTTCACACACATATTGTGCGCGTGACGTATTCACTTTGGTACTCCATAAGATTAGATACAAAATAAACTGTATAGTGTACAGAGATATGCGCAACTAATTCTCATCTGAATGTACACAAATCCATAGTTTGCCTTACTTGAATGTGGGGCACACTGCACAAATGGCAATCAAGAGCCTTTTATATCTCTTCTTTGTTGAGATTGAGGGGGTACTTGCACATGGAATAAATGAAGACAGGGCTTTAAAAAAACATGAGGCTTGAGCTGAATGTCACAGCCAGAAACCAAACTAGTGTTTGAGACTTTGAGATATGGCTAAGGAATTTCATGTAGTTCGATGGTTCAAAGTCAGCAGAAGTTAACAGAGTTTTTGTCCCTAAGCAACTCAGTTTACAGAGATTGTTTCTAACTTGCATAGGAAGAGCTGATTAATTTGAGATGGTCCACGAGGATGCTGGCCAGATGATATAATGCCACTGATGTTGTGGGTCAAAACTACTAGCTCCCATATGATAACCTGCTTGCATAACCTAATCTGTTAAATGCAACAGAAAGCAACAAAGGCAAACAGTTGTTGCATACTGTTGCATTTTTTAGCAGCACACTCAAGTCCCGTGCTTTGTTGCATCTTGTTGCATTTAGCAGGGTAACTGCTCTTAAGTCCAAGGCAATTCAACAGAATCACTGTTGCAGTCGGTTGCATTTTATAGCAGGGTAACTGCTTGGTGCCAAGGCTAGTATGCACTGGGTTCACTGCACATTGCAACAAAAACCACTGATGCAATTTGTTGCATTTAGCAGGTTCTCATTTCAGCAGAGTTGCATTTTGTTGCATTTGGCAGGGTGGCCAGAGAAACCTCTTGAGGGTAAGGGTTAAACAAAAATACAAGGAGGCATAACTGTCAATGCCAATCTTGAATGAAGGTGCACATGTACACTTAGGTTTGGAGTAAAGCCAGTCAAATGATCATACGTACACTGTGCACTAGCTGACATATGTGTGGCTTCAACTGGACCAAGTGGATTGTATGTACCCTCACTTTGAAACAATGTACCCTTGAACAACTACATACATGTGCAAGCTCATCATGCAGACATGTATATCAATTGGCAACAATTACCTTTCCAGTTGATATCACTGTTACCACAAATCAAAACAAAACTGTTTCACGTCCGTCACCTCCTATTCAGCAAACATGTATTCTTGGTCATAATTTTTGAGGGAAACTTTTTCCCATATTCTCGTTCCTCTAGGTCCCGAGGCCTCTATGCACATTGCTCAAATACCTCCTTCGATGGTCCCTTGATGTCACTGTGCTTAAAGAGCATTGCTAGTTTTGAATGGGCCGGTGCTATGTCGCTGGACTGTCTAGAAGGTTGTGGATGTATTCCAGTAGTCTCCCGTCTGTCTGGTCTTTGGGAAACTTCTTGGCCAGAGAAGCCTAAAGACAAAATTGGCAATGGAAGATATACTTATTGTTGACAGCTAAAATGGGAACGATTCACAAAACAGTGTGCCAGATTTTTACGTTGAAAAGCCCACTTTTTTATTTACTACCTACAAATATTGTCTTTCATGTAGTCATCTGTTTGTCTGCTATTTACGTGTTGTACACAAACACAAATGCATCTGGAAGCCTTATAAACAAACAAAAATTTCATTTGCAGAACAAAATCAGGTTTAGATCACAAGCAAAGTATCATACATTTTGTTAATAACCGGACAGATTTGCTACACTTTTGCCATATGTTTTTGACGTAGTTTCTCAGATTTACAGCACTTTTCAATATGATCTTAATGGTCTTTCATGCCACATTTGTATGTCTTTTCAAAGGTGGTCGAAGGAGATATTACCTGAGTTTGTCTAGGAATGTATCAGATTTGAACCAGAGCTCAGAGAATTGCACCATATCAGGACTGTCCTTGTAAAAGTCTACCAGGTATTTCTGTAGGTGAGATATGAAAGAAAAAAATCCATGTAAATTAATACATAGATAAATGCACATCAAGTACAAAGATTTATTGCATTGTGCGTACTCATGTCCACCTTAGCAGAGTCACTTGACATATAATACGCTTCAAATCTATCAAAATGTTGAACTGGAGATGTACGCTATCTTGCCACTGTGTTCCCATGCTCAAACTTTTGTGGAAGCTATGAGTTCGTTAACATTCAGATAAAATTCATGCATCCACAAGTACCCCTCATATATGAAGCAAGTGATTTTCTTTTCTTTATTGGAAGTTAGGAAAATTAAAATGCTTTTAACCAGTTGGCGCCGAAGGCCGTGTATACACGCAAACGTTTTGCGGTATTCGGAATGGATGACAGATAAACACGCAGAGAGCGAGGCCGGAAATATGTCAGCGACCCGCTCACAGAGAGCAAGGCCGGAAATATAAGCATGCTGCCTGAGGGTGATGGCTTCAACCTGCCTCACTTGAGGTCGACTGAAAAGTAACCCCGCGCCTCGTTCCTTTCTTGTCAAATAATCCCGCGTGAACTGGTTAATGATAAAGCCGAATCTGAAACAAACTGAACTTTGAGAAAGGGGCATCATGTTTTATTTCTAGCTGTGGCGGCTGCCTTACCTAAGATTCGTCAGAAATAATAATCAGAATCTTTTGGTCCAGGAACCAGGCTAGCGTGAAGGAAGCCCATACAGCACTACCTACTGTTCCTGTAAGGGGTCCATACATATGATGTAGTTGGACATGCACACTTACCATTTCTAGTAATATCTCCTGGGTTAGGAATATATCAGACTGCCAGTTGAAATTCATTGTCATTGGCATTCCTCTACAGCTACGACCTCGGTCCTGAACAACAAAAAAGAAAATACACCATTCATTTATTAATTTTTAAGGTGACTATGTCCCTAAGCAGAGCTGTAATCAAGTCAGTCACAAGTCATCAGAAATCCTCACAAGTCAATTACAAAGTCATTCAGTCTCAAGTAAAAACTATTCTAATGAACCGTGACAAAGTCATTCCTTTGTTTAAAATGTTTTTGGTCATTTTTAAAATTAGTTTATTAGCCCTTACTCTCTGAGGGTAGTTTACTGCATGTCAGTTGGTTATGCCAATGCCCTCCAGCTGCAGTTTTTTGGCAGATAAACTATCTTGACAGTGAAGGCTCCAATTGGCAGGAGTTGGAGGCCCTGGAGGGTGCCTGATACTGACCAGCTGGGGGCACTCACTTTGTTATCAGAGGACTCTCATTGTTCTCTGTGGCATGTATTGGAGTGCCTGTCCAGTTACCTTGAAATGACATGGCAGATATTGGAGGGCCATGCAAAAACATAGGAGATTTTCTTGAGGCACATATTGGCATGCGTTGGAGGGTCTAGTAGGGTAAGGGTTAGTCATAAAAATACTGAAGCAACGTCATGTGCAACTCACCTCTATTTGTGGCATTACCCAGAATGATTTGAGACTAGATTCTTTCTGTGGCTTGTTCAGGTTGAAGGGCGCTGCAAATAAAGAATTAAAGCTTTGATTTCTGCAATAGATCTCTCTCATAGGACGCCATCTTCGTAGGAAAATTACAACTGCTTGTTCAACGCCATTAGGCGTGTGTGCCCACAGTGTGCAAAATGTTCTTAACACACGCACGTGTTGCTCGAAATTTAATGCCCAAAATACCGATGCACATGGCAATCTGTAGAAGTGACGTCATTTGAGAGAGACCTATAAAGACAGATACATCAACTGACAACTCACACAGCTGTTACATACAAAACAATGAAGTAAAGAATCAAAGGTGTCCATTAGGAAAAGAGCAAAGCTCAAATTCATGGCTATGCTTTCTGTAGGCGAAGAATCCCTCCTCATCTAGCAGAAAATTCAGCACCAACATTTACAGAATTTCAATGCCTGTTTGCAAGTGCACATGTGCACACCCTCTATATAAGATTGTGTTCTTACAGGGTTAGTGCAAAATCTCTATGTTGGTGCTGTAAGCATGCACTGGTGATAATAAGCGGAGAATTTTTGTGGGCTGCAGACCCATACAACTGGGACTGGGGCATTCCGAATTTTGAGAGTGCAACTCACCACATATAAGAGCTAGGCAGGGCTGATAGACCGTACCCTCGCCTTTCATTTGTAGCTGGTAATCCATCTGGGTTTGAATGTCTTTCAAGGAGGGTTGTGCGGGGTAGCAGGGATGACTGTGGTACCAGCCGACCAATTGCAGACCTCGTAATGCTATTGCTTGGCGAATCTTTGAAAAGAAAGCAAAATGTGACAGACATGTACACCTTTTTTTCGACTGGCATTCTGAAGTGGCATGAAACCAAAATGCATTATGAGCGACCCAAGCCGACTCAAAGAGAATTTGGATCCGGAGAGATAAATTTATGTAAATGGACTGCGACAGAACATATTTTGCAATCGCTTATTAGAGGATCAGCTTGGCATATATTGAAGTATTTTGGGGGGTTTTGAGTGGAAAAACGCTTAATTTAATAGCTTAACCTAAACCCTGTTGATGCCATACCCCAGGCTGTAGGTTGAGTATTAAATGGCTTAATACATTTTCAATAATCTATCTTGATAAAGGAAATAACTTGTCACAGAATAATGTTGCACTCACCTCTTCTTCAACAATGGAAGCCTTATTCTTGTCTGCTAGTCGACATCTGCAGGGATATGCTTGTAGCACTGACATATCTGTTGACAGAAGATGCAAACTCATGAACAGGACTCGCATAATAATTATAAGGCGCACGTATCCACTAGTATTGGAGCTCAAGGCGCTACATCATTAGTACCCCTGCTCCTTGGGCCAATGAAACATTCCAAAGACAATCTCAGCTCCCTGGGGAGTATACAGCTTGATGCTGCCATTTCAGCGCAAAGCAGCTTAAATCAACACAATAACCATCTCTGCCCTCACAGGTACCCATTTACTCCTGGGTGGGGAGAAGCAATGAGTGACAAAGTGCCTTGCCCAAGGGCACATGCACCATAGCCCCAGGCTGGACTCGAACCCACAACCTGCAGAATTACCAGCAGACCCGAGTTCAATGCTCCAGACCATGAGGCCATGGCACTCCACATATGTCTTCATCATTAATCTCCAACAGCAAATCCATGCTACTTCTATGTTACTTGCAGCTGGTTTGTTGATAATTTAAAATGACCACACTTACGTTGTGTATTTGGATCCCATTTCCCTGCTAGGTAACCAACAACTTCACTGGTAGTCAGATGACAGTGGAAATCCTGTGAAGCAAACAGAAACAAAAAATCATCAATTTCACTTTCAACACCGTACATTCAAACTTTGTCCTTTTGCACGAACAATATGTCAGATTTTTATCAATTTTATTTCAAAATGTGCACGAGAAACAAGCAGCAAAACTCACGAAGGAAAGGGAAAAGTATTGAAGTTAAGCAGACACATATTTGGGAGATAATGTTCAGACAGGGAAGGATCTTACCATTACAAGAAGGCAATTTGTCGTGGTTGAGACAGTGAAAGGCTGCATTCTGCCCACAGAATTAAATGGAAGACACTCAACTAACGTATTGGGACTCCTAGGGAAAGTGAAAATGAAATGCTGGGTTAACAATTGAAGATCTCGTAACGTTCTTGTGTCATCATCACTGTGAACTGCAACCGATACAAGTTCAAAATGTTTAGTAAGTTGCCTGTGAGGACAGGCCTCTGGTGAGAATATAATAAAGAATATACTTGACTTGTTGGGCTTATATTTTTCAGTCACAGTAAAGCTATGTCTTAACCACTTTGTGCCAGTATATTTTTGCCAAAAATTTCAAATTTTTCAAAAGGCAAAATTCCCAGCCAACTTCTGATATACAGCCAAACACCACGAACACTGATTCGCAAAAGTGATTTCAACAGTATTTGTACGATATTTCTTGCCGAAACCTCATATGTTTCAATAATCCGGGTGTGCACTGGAGCATAAATTGAAACAACAATAGGCCGTGCACAATGGCCACACAACGGTCAGCACAGGGTCTGCCTCCATGGACACACGGACTTGGTGTATGTGTACAAAAAGGCATGAGGGATTAGCGTGTTAGACGTCACCCCGAGGCGAGTAGAGGCAATTTTGACGTCTTAATCCGTCAGCCTTGCCTGTGCACAAAACAGCCAGTGCGTGTTATCACGGCCTCCGGCGCAAGCTGGTTAATAACTGGCTATGACTGGCAATACAAGTGGCTGAATTGCTTCCCATAGCCACAGCAATTTGAATGAAACCTAGGTGGCTGTTCAAGTAAACCAAGATAACTGCCCTCAACAAGGCTCAAGTCATATCACTTCAAAGCATGTTTCAAAGGAGTGAACCAGTGTGTAGTAGCATCACAATCATTTACCTTTCAAGATCCTCTTTTGTGATATCTGCATATTTGACCACTCTCCGCTCATTCAGGTCTGGATTCTTCAATGGGTGCGCCATACCTGTCATTGATCAGTTACAATGTTTTATAGAATACCAAAAAATTACAAGCTTATATTGTGTTGTCGTTACATTGTTCCGCAACGGATATGGCTGTATTATATATTAAGCCCACTCACCTTCTTTATGTACATGAACACTGCTTTCAGTTGCACTGAATATTCTGAAAAAAAACAAGGGAAAAACAAGCTGAGATTTACTTTTTGGGCAATTGTAATTTGTTGCTATTAGAAGTCATTTGTAACAAGATCCAATTATACAAAAATCCCAATGCCAATCGGCCTCAGAGTCTGTGGTTGCCAACCGCAGCAGGATACAACTGTGGCACTGTTAAGTGGGACTAGCTCCCATGGATTCACAATTGCCAGTTAATGCACTGGTGTTGATGGCGCCATGCAGCAAGGTCCCACAGACTTTTACTGCTGACTGTGCTGCATCTGGCAGGGTAGGGTCAAAGGCTTCTGGGTGATTCTGAAGCCTGATGTGGAGTGATAGCTGGAGACAAAACCTAGGTTTCAAAACCATCATGATGACTCAGGATTCCCACAGAAATCCTGAAAGGAAATTCAATGACTTTTCCATGACAAATTTAGGGCTATCCATGACCAATTCCTATGCAGTTTTGGCATCTGAGGAGCCACTTACTGCCTTCCAGTTTGCAACAACTTGCACAGCAAACTGAAATGCAAACTGGAAGACTGTCATAGCCAAATACAATGTATAACACATTATCACGCATGGTTGTGCACGATTTCACGATTTTCCCATGACTTTTTTTGTCTTGGAATATAAACTTTCATGACTCCTATAAAATAAAATTTTCCTTGACTTTTCCCTTACTTTCCATGATAGCTTTAAATTCAAGAATTTAAATTCAAGAACTGTGAGAACCCTGTTAACTACCTCATGGTGATCTGCCTACCTTTTTTGGCCTTTGGTTACTTGGGATGTAGGAGGGTTGGGTTTATCTGCAGGACTTCTGTGGATTCATCCTCATCATCTTTCTCATCCTCCATGTCTTCCCCAGTGTGGCCGTTCGTATACCCATTCTCACCGTCTGGAATATCGGCCTGTATGCATCAATGAAGTGAATGAGTCCAAACTGACCATTAATTCTTTGGTCATTTGAGACTGATTTGGGTTATCAATTAATTCCTCTCGGTGGCTTATAATCATGGAGCTGGTTAATACTTGCAAAGAAGATGTATCAATGAAGAAAAAACATGTGCCAACTTTAAGAATACCTTACAATGTTTGTATTTAGTTGTAAGAGCATGAAGATTGTGATTGTTGCATCACAATTTCTGGAGAGTTCTTGTTATAAGATTTAAGCATGCTTTTTGTTTGCGCTGACTGCTTTTGGTCAAAGTGAACGCAGGTTTTTCTGTCAGCGCCAAATGTACCTTTAGCAGTGCCCTGAAATTTGGCTCTGTTTGCATTCACTGTAACGCTCCAACGTAATGTACAAGGTGTCCAACCTACCACGTCTTCAAATCCAGGCATGCTGATCTTCATCTGGCTGAACCACGTTGACTTGAGAAGGTCCAACTTCTTGCCCTTATATTTCACCTTTAAACAACAAACATGACCACACTAGAAAATAAACCTAATTGTTACATTAATTAAGCCCTGGATACTATAATTTCATAGTATCCAGTCTATAAAAATGACTGATAATTTCATTATACCCATGTTACATATAAATTACCTCACGTACACCGTGTTGCACCTTAAGGAGTGAAAAACCTGATCCCACATCACAGCAGTCAACATTTGTTAATGTTGAACTAAAAAGGGTAATGCATGTTGTTTTGGAGTCAGGACATGTCTACCAGTAGGCTGTGTTGTAGTTGAGTCTATGACAAGTCCTCACAAGCCTGTCGCATGTCAATCACAAGTTATTCAGTACAAAGTCAAGTCACAAGTTATTCAAAGGAACAGTGACAAAGACATTCACTTGTTATTGCGCATCCTCTTTTTTTTGTGACCAGACTTGTTATATCAAATAAAAATTAAAATGAGGTGACTCACAGAGGCCCAACCACAGCCTGATTTCTTGGCAGGGTTGACCAGCTTTTTGATGTGTATTGCCCAGGCGCTGGGGGAGTTAAACTCCTGGCCTGACCATTTGATCTTGCCATTCTCCATCAGATCAGCTGTGAACTTCCTTCCCTGAAAGAAAACAAATTCATGCAAGAAAGTTACATTATGTATAACTCAGAGAGACCATCAATAGCGAACTGTTAGTAAAGACAGTTCTAGAAGAAAAATTCACAGAACTTTACAATAACTCAATGAATGCCCTGTGACATGATGGGCTTTGTGGAAAATTACCCCTCAAGGGTGACAGAAAGAGATATGACAGACCATTTAACGCTACAGCCCCTGTGTATCTTAACCCCACAGCTCATGCACAAGCACCAGCTCGTGCACATTGTGATTGGCTCAATTACAACTCTGGTTCAGAGTAATGTTTGGGCTTCCTGACAAACTTGCCAGTGAAGCCAAATTGTGTAGACTTTGTATCTCACCAGGTAGTCAATTGTGAGCAGGCCATCTCCAGACTCAACAATCCATCAGCCATCAGCATGCCCAGGGTAATGCCCCGCCCAGTCACCACGCCCGACCGGTTCTTGGCTGGGCTGGGACTGGAGGAATTGACG